CGCCCCACGGGGAACTTGGGTCGTGGGAGCGGGAACGGGGGGGGGCTGCTGCCCGCGGTACCCGGTGTGCACGGCGGAGCGCGGGTTCGGGGGTCGGGAGAGGCGGCCCCTGGCCGGCCCGGGGTCGGGACGCGCGGACGGATGCTGGGCACTGGCGTCTAGCCCGGTCATTTTGTCGTTGCGCGCTCTCTCTCTCTCTCTCGCTCTCTCTCTCTCTCTCGCTCTCTCTCTCTCTCTCTCTCTTTCGGGAGGGGTGGGGGGGGAAGATGGGGCTTCGAGCTTGCGAGTCCCCCTTCGGTCGCGCTCGCCGAAGACTTTTCCTTCTCCAGCCCTTGAAAATGCGCGTCTCAAGGAAAAGTGGTGTGAAAGTTGGTGTTTCCTGCCGACGAGCCCTTGCCCCGGCCACTTCACGGCAGTTTTGCAGTTCTCACCTTTTTTTTTTTTTTTCCTTGGGAACTCTTGACGCTGAGGCGGAAGAAAGCGGGGTTGTCTTTCCCTTTCGGGGTTTCTTTTTTTCCTTAGCTGTTGGCTTCTTGTCAAACCCAGAGACGACCACTCCTGAAGCCAGTGACAGCTTCGACTTGACTCTCCAGGTCCTAGTCTTTGTGAAGAGTCCACATTAGCCCCCTGTGAGATCTTGAGTCCCTTCCCTCCCCCAGCGCACCCCGAGATTAACCCTTTGCTGGTGTGCTAATGTGACGTTCCGCGGGTGGGTCGCACGGATCGGGGTCACGAAGGCTCCGGAGATGCTTCTGCAGTCGCTCCCCAGTTATTCGCAGGGAGGAAGGAGGCTTCCTGGGAACCTCGGTGACCTACTGTTCCGGGCAGGCCCCCTCCAGAGCTTCCTCCCTGTGGAATTTTCTCAAAACCGTGGATTTGGTGTATGTCTGTGAAGACTGGGGACCCGCCCTCATTTAGATCCTTTCCAGGAGAGGAAAAGCGCAATGTGGTGTTTTTCAAATCGTGTTTAACGGAGCTCCCCAGCGCCGGACTTCTTCCCCCCTGATTGGCTGGAAGGAAGCGGGCCTGGGGGGTTTGAATGTTGAACGCCGAGCTGATAATCCTCCACCTACGGAAAAACTGTGTTTAGTCAGAGAACTACTCAAATAGATCCAGAAAAGTCCAAATGGAGATTTTTTTAAAAATTGGATGCCTAATAGAGTTGTTTCTTCCGTAAAAGCCTTGCAGATGCTTCTGAAATGTGTATTGAAAAGTAAAACTAAAGAAGCAATTTTCAGAAAACTGTATTTCTGCTGTTGCAGTTAACAAGACATACTTCTCTCTGTTCTTCATTGGTTGAAAACTGCGCCCAAGGATCTACGCTGTTTTGTTTTTTCCTTTGGTAGAAATTTTTCATCTTCGCCTTCATGTATTTGTTGGATGCAGATTATGGGAAAAGTGTTTCTTTGATTTTGATGAAAGTAAACTTTAAATTATCTGTTATACATTTTTCATAAAAATTGAATATATTCATAAAACTTTGCAAATCTATTTTAAAATGTTTTTTTTTCTAATTCAGCCATTCATTGCAGTGGTTAAAAATTTTAATTTACAAGACATTTATGTTTCTTAATTGCTAATATAACAGGTAAGTAAGTATACACAGGTGAGCTTATATAATACATTATTACAGTTCTCTGACAAATTCATTATGAGGAAGTGTGTTGTATACAGCAGTGCACATGTGTTGCTTTATTTGATTGGTTTCAGTTAGTTTTTGTTTAGTGTTGCTTGAAACAACCGTCAATATTTATTACCCTGCTTGTCATTCCTTTTAGTTGCATCTTGATAACAGACGGTGTGGTTTGGAAAGAGTAGATGATTTTGAAAGAAATTTTTATATTTTATAAATAATTGAAACTTTGAGACATGATTTCTAGTTTCACTTTAACACAAATATATGTTAGAAATATCCAAATGAAAACATTTTGATTTCTATTAATAAACACATTCTGTTTTGTATTACTTTCACAATAATTATTACTGAATCCACAATTTTTTCCTGAATGTGTTTATTTTGGATTTTTCATAAAATTTGATTTATTAAAATTACTGTAGAAGATCTCATTTCTATTCTCCTTGTAATTATATCTCAAGTGCCAGTGCTAATGAGTTTTGCTTTTTACTCTTGGTTTGGTTTTGAATTTTAATTTTTATTCAAATTATGTGGCTGGGAGAGAATTACGGGAGTGGGGGAAAGCTTTAAATTCCCTCAAACCATACTTTTTGGCACTTTGGTTTATGGGGTTTGTTTTGTTTTGAGGGTGATGAATGAAGGGCTTTTTTTTTTCCTTCTGTTTGTTTTACCAACTTTTTGAAATAAGTAATGGATCCTTTATTTAAACTAATTCACTTAAAGCTTTAGAATACACTAGCAGCTAAATAAATCCCACAACATTCCAAATATTTCTGTCTTTTATGTAATGCCAGATAGGAGGGAGAATTCTAGTAGGTATATACCCACTTACTTAAATGTTTATATGCAGTTATCTGTTTTACTGTGGAAACTGATTTTTCTAATTTTCTATTCTGTTGTGAAGGCTGCAAAAGCCATTTATTACCACAGGAAAACAGCACTGGAGAATTCTGCTGCTGTAATAGTTCTCCTGGCGCTACATTTACATACTGTAGAGGAGAGGGAACAAAAGTACCAGTTTCCCTGGTAGCATTGATTTTCATTTGTTTGTTCTTTATACTATTTCCAATTAAAAGTCTAATTTTAGATGATTTTAAAAAACTGTTGTCTTCATTGTACATTTACAAAAATACAGCCTCGGGTTTCGTATCTGATTAGACTGGTATATGTTTTAATGTTTATCAGGAACCACAGCTAAGGATAAAAATTTCAAAGTAGTGTTCACATTCTGGATTCCATGTTTCCTCTTTTGTGTGCTGTTTTTAATTTTGATTTCATAAAATCTGTGTACAGTTTTGTTTCTGTTATTCATGTATTTATTTATTTGTATGTAGTAACTATTAAGAATGTTGAAGAAACCTTCGGTATAGAAATACTGGTCAGTTAACTGAGTTTACAGAAAGAAAAAAATTAATATTTCTCAAATAAGCTTTCAACATTTATATTATAAAGTTACAGGTATGGAAATTTCACAAAAATCTCAAATCTTAAAATGTTTCCGACCTTAAAGAGGCTTTTGTCTTTTTATTTTCTTTTGTTTAAATGACCCTTAATCCCTACATTGATTTTTTTTAACCCCTTTTATGAGAAACAGATAATTAGCATATTACAATTAGAACAACACATTTTCAAAGAATTGTAAGACTATACATAGTTTGTCCTTTTTATTTTTTAATTGCACAAATTTAGAAACACTGTATGCTTTGCAATTAATCTTGGCATATAATTAGATTTCAAACTAGGACTTGCTGTAACTTTGTGGTCTTAAATCTCATAAAACCAAAGGAAATCAGTAATAAAATAACACTTTATTTCAACTAAGTGTTGAAAATGAGATTAAGAATTTTAAGAGGTTACACTATTAGAACTTTAAAACTAATAGTTTGTATTAAGCGTGATATCTATTTTAAAATGTTACTAATATATAATACCTGATTGTTAGTATGTACAAATGCTCATAAATTATATAAATATATACTTTCTGATATGTAACTTTTTTGCTTATTTTTCTTGCCTGAATAAAAAGATGCTTTAAAGGATTTTTCTGTGAGACAGGTTTCAAGTAATGTAGTTAACAGTAAATATGTACGTGTGTGTGTGTGTGTGTGTGTGTGTGTGTGTGTGTGCGTGCTTTTTTTGAAACTTTTTTTGAAGTTGTGAGCTTCGTGTGCTTTTATTTAAACCCATCTTAGTTCACCAAAGAAAGGTTACACAGGAAAGTATAAAGAGTAAACTGTGATAGATTTGAGTTTTACTTTTGGAGAATTTTCTTTTAGTCATATACATTAGATTTTATATCCAAACTTCTTTTGCATCTTATTTTTACACTGCTTCAAAACATATAATACTATATTAAAATTTAACATTTAATTTTCTATTGTTTTCTTTGTTATTTTAAATTTGTGATCCTATATTTCAAGTCATTCAAGTGTTAAAAAAACTTTCTTTTGAAAAATATTAGGCAAAAATTTCTTTAATTTTTCGAGATAAGATATATTTGAATTGGTATTTCTTAGACATAAGATGATGTGGGGCTTTTATTTTATTTTTCTCATTAAACAACCAAATATTTAGCAACAGAAGAATAAAGGAGCTTTTGGTTTTCATTCTTTATTTCTCTCTTCAGCCTTTCTTAAGTAAAAGTAGGAAACTCCGACAAAGCATTCTGGTTCATATGTAGTAGTACATTTATCCCTTTGGTAATTTAATAATTTGCTATTTTAATGTACTTGTCATTTAAGTCTTTAAGATCCAGAAAGGTGAACCCAATGGGAAAAAAAAAAAAAAGAAAAAGAAATGAAGTTGCATTTCACCTCTGTTTGAAAGCATTAAGAGACTAGTCTAGTATGGTCCATTTATTTTAAAATTTTTTAAATTGGTTAGAACTGTAATATTAAAATATTTGGAAATGTTCACTCATATATAGCAAGACTAAAGTGGAGAATAATGGTAATTTGTCATCATTGATACATTTGGTAATTTTAGAGCAAAGTTAGTCAAATTTTATCTCTATCCCTGGTATAATTTTTAAACTCTATGGGTTTTAGAAACACAAAGAATATTTTTTATAATCTTCCTTAGTCTTTTCAAAGCTACCTACCTATGCATATTTATCTATGCTCCTTTGAAAATGAATGTCATAAAGAGAAATGAAAGCAGAAACTTATCTGATTTGTTTGAAGAGGCTTGGGGTGATAATGCATATCACAGGTGTTCTTAACTTATTTTCTGTTCGAAAAATATTTTCATAGTAGAGATTCTTTCTTAAGCATTGCAATATTTTCAAGATTTGACTGCTCACAGATCAACTAGAACTACAAGAGATATTTATATCTGTTGAGTGTCTTTATATAATAATACATGACATTTTTATTGCAGATTTTAACCTTTAGAAGAGAACCAATTCTGGAAAACAGCCTAACTTTCTTTGACTGAATACTGACATCATGAATTGGAACGTGATAGAGGATTAAGGTATACTAGTGTTTTTTGTTTGTTTTTGTAAGACAAGGTCTTAACTCTACAGCCCAGCCTGAACTTACTGTGTCTCCTAAGCTGGCCTGGAACTTCTGGTTTTCCTGCTCTACCCTCCTCCTTAGTGCAGGAATTGTAACTATGTGTCATTGTTTCTGCTCTGTACTAATGAATTTTCAAAACCTATATGTCTTGGTAATATAATTGGACTTGATAGTAATGCTGAAACGTTTAAGTGATCTAAAATAAATACAGAATAAATAGAAATCTTGTAAATTGGCTGAATCTAAGTGTCTTGCTTGTTAAAATTCCAAATTTTTAAGAATATAATCGATATTTTTATAGTGCTATAGTAGATCCACCTGAATTTATTCCCTCCTCCGCAAAAGCATATGTGATGTTTTATTTTTGTTTTTTGTCTCTTTTTCCTAAGGGTGTTACTACAGTTGCTATGAAAGGTATTTAATTATGTAGTCAACTTTGTTCTTACAAAATGAAGTGTTTTAAGTCAAGTGGAATTTAGTACTTGGCTGTTTGACAAGTGGAGAAATAGGTAGAGCCTAAAAATTAGATAAGATTAATGAAAATATTTTAAGAAAATTTGAAGTATTCCAAGTATTGTCCTAACCAAAAGTCCCAATTTGGTTGAAACTGAAAAACCTACTTTCTTAAGCAGAAACAGATGTCTTATCTTACTCATAGATACTCAATACATTGTTAATATCAAAAGTTACACCACTCTAATGATAAAATTATAGAATGCTTAAACTTCTGGTGACTATTATCTTAACCTCCAAAATACTTATCATAGTCCATTTTTCTAATGTTTATTTTACTTGATTTTTATAGTCTTAGTTGAGCATTTCAGATAGTATTCAGCTTAAACAATTTTTGTTTCCTAGATGGTAATCTAGTATAATAAAAATGAATTTATTGAGCGTTATTAATAAATATTACTTGGTTAGTTTTTTTCTAGTGAAATGTTAACCATAAGTTTTAATAATATTTGCTAAATAAAATAAGAGTTGCTAAAATATAACTGTAATTTTCTTTAGAATCTTTTAACTAAAAATATGTAAGTAACAAATAGAAAATCCCAAAGGCTTGTTTTCACAAGAATGTAATTTAATATTAAGAGTAAATTATAATTTTCCTGCTCATAAAATTGCTTTTAACTTTAAACAGTGTAAACATTTTAGAACAAATTTTCAGGTGTGTTTAAGAATGCTAGAATATTGAGATAAATTACTCAAAAGCTAGAATTTGATAGTTTTATATTATGAGATAGACAGTCCAGAAATGCATATCTGTTAATAGTTGAGGTGAAATAGAAATGTTGAAACTAAATAGAAATCAGAGTTTAAATAAGGGTGAATTTCTGGTACTTTGTTACATCGATGTCAAATTATATGGTGATAGTTTCAGATAAATACAAAGTATAGAATGTCTTTATAATTTTGATCTTAAATATTACGTCAAAACAGTTTTAATGGGTGAAAATTTAATAAAAAACTCTTCCCCTCTATCTTAACCAGTTTTTCCAGGTTAGAGAGTATTAACATGAAAATAGAGTGTCTGAAAAAAAAAAATTAGGTTTAATTTATCACTTTTAATCCAGATAGTTGACAGAGCTTTAATGCGTTAAATGAGGGAGAAAGCAATATATGAGTTTATAGTGTAGATAAAGATAAAATGAACAGTTGTTCCGAATATAGATTTCAAGATTTATGATAACCTGAGGTTTTCAGAATTTACTATTTGAACACAAATATTTGACATTATCATGTTATTGTTTTCTTTACAGTTATAAAACAAAACTGGCTTATGATCATAGGAATTTAGCTTGTTAAATAATTTAGTATCTAAAAACAGTATAGATATTAAAAGTTTTCTTACAGTTGGTTACTTTTGATAGAGTAAGAACCTTTAACTTGGCTAATTATAAAAGCTCTTACAGTTAAGTATGATTAGGTGTCATTTAACCACCTTTTAAAGGATATATAAATACTTCAAATTTGCGAATCGATCCAATTCTCTCTTAATACATAGTTTATTACGGAAAGAGATTTATTGTGTTGATTTAAATTTTTTAATTAAAATTTTTCTCCAATGTTAGAGTTACATCTCGAGTACAACATTTATACTTTCAGTTAAAGGCATTATCAGGGTTTCAGGAAAAACAATTGCCCTTAAAGTACAGTTGTACTATCATTGTGTCTCTCTTACAGAAGTATTTACCTTAGGGTAAAAAAAAAAAACAAAAAACTTTAATAAACTAAAATGGGGCTAATTTAACATCTGTTGAAGGGTCTTAAATTATTAACTATGATTATATAATGCTAGTTTATAAACATGACTTACAGTTAAGCTGTTTGTAAGTGAATTCAAGTTTTCTTTGCTAGAGATTTTAAAGTATTGCAAAGATTTGATAAATAATAGACACAATTAACTTAAACATTTTAAATGTTTATTTGAAGCAGTTTCCTACATGTATATATTTTGTGGTTTTCCAAAAATAACAAATATTACCAATTTATTTGTATTGGTTTTCAAGTAAGGCCTAATGCATCAGAACTGATACTTTCTCATCGACATTTTTCAGTAGGCAATATTTAATTAATTTTAAGGCTTTAAACTTCTTAAAAATATGGTTTTGAAGTAGAATTTCTGTTCTCAGCACTTTGAACCACACTGGATAGATAGTTACTATTACTTTGCTATTTTGATAGAATCATTTGAAAGAATGGCATGTTTCAAATGTGATTTCTGCAGTTGATCAATCTATTACTATTTCTATATGTCTAAGTTTCATAAATTAAATTTTAAATTCCTTTCATATTACATATATTCAAAATTACCTTGTTAATCCTGTGGGGTTTTTTATATATTTTATTTCTAAATTTCTTCATTGACAACTAAATGGAAAAGGTTTTTTTTATTACTTTTGGTAAAAGATTGTAGTTTTTTCTTGTTTGTTCTTGCAAAATACCTAAATTTACTATATTGCTACTATTTCATACTAGTGTTCAAGACTAGGTATTATTTAAATTTCATATCTAGTTCTAATCTGTTACTTTTGTTTTTTAATAATAATTCAAACTTTTATGTTTTATTATATTTCTGAAGCAATGCTTACAGTGGTTGAAAGATGACTTGCACTAAAGTTGTAGATCTGTAGACAGCATTTTTATTATAGTTAAAGCATTTTAACAATAAACATTTCTGTTTCTCTTACAAATTGATATTATGGGCTTAACTAAGGCTTTACCTCTGTAATACACATAATATACATTTAAGATAGATTATACTTGAAATTTTTTGATTAGTTGTGATTTTTAAATTTTTATTTTATTACTGTGTATATGATGAGGTGGTGTATGCACAGAATTCAGAGAACAGCCTTGTGTCAAGTCTCTTCTTCCACTTCAGTGTGTTCCAGGAATGGAACTCATATATTGTCAGGCCTGCATTGCAGGCACTGCTACCCACTGAGCCATATTGCCAGCCTCAGTTGTGGTTTTTGTTAACTTTTAGGCTAGGTCTAGGAAGTATTATAGCTTGGTGGTAAAGCACTTGGCTAGCATGCCATGGACTCAGAAAAACTCATGAACTACCAAAGGGGGGAAAAATCATTGGCTGAACTCGTAATGCTTTGTTTATTTACCATTCTAGAGATTGAACCAAAGGTCTTGTGCTAGCATACTCTACCACTGAGCTATTTACCCTTGGATCTCAGGGGCTAGGGGGCGTTGTTCTTTTTGTTTTTCTAAATAATATCTGAAGTCAGCATATGATAGTGACTCAGTACATGGTGCTTAGGAGGGAACTAGGGATATTTTGTGAGCAAAAGTACAATTTTCTTGATTAGAATTTGTACAACTAAGGAAGTTATTCTCAGCGTTCACTCTGACAAATGGTTAAAACTTTTCAGAGAGTTTTGGTAATTGAGTAGTTAAATGTAGCCTTAGAAGCTGAAATTGCTATGTTTTATTAGCTTTTTTAGAAACATTGTAGGTTCCCTCTCTAACCAAAAATATAAATTTTGTCTTTTTTTCTCTCCACCTTAACCTTTTTAAATTTCTTCTTAAATAATAATACAAGCCGGGTGGTGGTGGCGCACACCTTTAATCCCAGCACTCAGGAGGCAGAGACAGGCGGATCTCTGTGAGTTCGAGGCCAGCCTGGTCTCCAAAGCGAGTTCCAGGAAAGGCACAAAGCTACCCAGAGAAACCCTGTCCCGAAAAAACCAAAATAAATAAATAAATAATAATAATAATAATACAAGTGGACCTGGCAAGTGAATTGTACTGAAGTACTTTTTTTCTTGGAGTTAGTTTCCTATGCTTTTCTTGAGTGGTGCTTTTTAAATAGTAGGAGCATCAGTGGTGAAGAAGTAAGTGTCACCACCATAGCAGTTGTTCTTGTCCCTTGTAAGAACTGGAGTTAGGGAGTCACTGCTGCTTGTCAGCTGGCTCTTGTGCAGAGTACTGTCAATGTGTGATAATAGTGGCCAAAGAAGTTTGCACCCAAGTGGAAAGGTTTTCTATGTGTGGTTTGCAGAACAGTCTCTTTGAAAGATACTTTCTTCCCAGTGCGCCTTTAAGAGGATAGTAAATATTTGTGGTTCTTGAACCTTTTTTTTTTTTAACTGTTTATTCAGTGGTGTTGTATTTAATTTTTATTCAGGAAATTTCATCTGTTAGAGTTGAAAAATTCCTGAAATATGTGTGCCATACTTCTTAATTTTAAGCTAATAGAATAGGAAAACTTATTAAAGTAATTAGGTTGCTGATGCCATAAATTCAGATATATATTTGAGAACGAAAACTTATGGTCATAGCAGAAGTATTTCTTTCACTTTGAGGACATATTATCTTCCTTTTATAGCCTCATATGAAGAAGGCTGAGTTTTTGTTAGTTTCATTATAATAAAACATACATGAAGTTCTATACTTCATGTTGTCAGTAATTAGAACCAACATAGACCATAGGTGAAAACCGTTAAACTATTTTATATTCTAGTCATGCTTTGATGAGTTCTTAAAAAGATACTATATCATATTCTACATCTTTTAGAAATCACTTTGTAATTTCAAGTAATAAAGTTTTGTAGAGTCATATATTTCTATTTGTACAAATTTTGCATAACCCACATATGTTTTTCTTCCTTTTTATCTGTATAATTACAGTTCTAGATAAGTGAATATTGGATCTCTGTTAAAGTTCTGGTTTCATTTATAAGACTTTGCTAGAAAACTACAAGTGACGTTTAGTTTTGTGTTAGTACCCTAATTTAAAGTCTGATATTTGCAGTTGTATTTCTAAAAGATAATCATTGTTGCTCCTTGGTTATTGTCATTAAAATCACTTCTGATCCATCCCTATGCTTAATGTTTGCTTTACCAGTTAGTAAACTCAGAATATTATTTCTTTGGTATTACTAACAAAAATGGCTTTTGTCATATTGTATGTTTATTTATCTGAATTAATAATTGAGACCACAGTCTATTCTGGCATTGTGAAATTAAGCATATTCAATTGTAAATTGAAATTGCTTTTTTAGGTTGCTACTGTTTTTAATATGTTGATGTAGTTTGACATATAGACATATTGATATTGCACATGTTTAACCTATAAGTTAGCTGCATAGTCCTCTGTTGAAAATAACCTCCACTCTGATTGACTCCTGCTGAATGTCTGTGGACTGACTACTAGAATGAGCTAAAAATAAAGCATTTTTCCTGATCTGCTTAATCAGAATTTCTTGTCCTAGACATCCACAATGTATACTTTTTACAAACTCTAAAGGATTCCCTCCCTCCTCCTTTCTCTCTCTCTCTTTTTTTTTTTTTTTTTTTTTTTCTCTCTTTTTTTTTTTTTTTTTTTTTTTTAGGGGCAGTGGCAGGGGTGGGAAGGATTGTTCATACCAAACCATTTACATCTGGCCCATCCACCATCTCCGAGCTATTGGTTATCTTGGATCTAACAAAGTTCAATATCTAATTAGGAATCTTATTTCTACAACACTTCTGAGTGTTGGTATTTCCTCAGTCATATAAAGAACAATCTGTTTTCAGAACTTTTGTTTTTGTGAAACTGTTTTGGGACAAATTTTGTCCCTATGTTAGATACACACTTGAGAGCAGAAGAGATGAATCACTTGAGAACTGTTGGCTGGAGAGATGGCTCAGCTGCTTAGAGAGAGCACTTACTGCTTCTGCAGAGAACCCAGGTTCCATTCCCTGAACTCACATGGCAGCTCACAGCCCTAGTTCTAGGGAATCTGACATCTGGCCTCTGTGGGCACCAGCCATGCAAACCGTGTACAGACATACATGCAGGCAGAGCACCCATACACATAATGTCAAGAATAAGATAAAATAAAAACTCAATATTAAAAGGTGTTCATTTCTACACAGAAGTAGATACTTTTCTTAAATGTATGTTCAAGTGTTGGGGAAAATACAAAAATTTCTGTCTAGTTTGTGGAGCACTTGGTAGTGTCATACTACAGTTGAACTTATAGTAGACTCCCATTATACAATGTGACATAGTCCTATATACTGCATACCCATTAAAATAAGAGTTGTGTATATTATTCTGAATAACTGTATTTAGCAAAAAAATAAACAATTGAGGAAAATATGTATGTATATTACAGTTAAATTTGTAGTTATAGAGTAAAAAGCATGCATGAGAAATAAATACCAAATTCAAGATTGTCGTTACATTTTAAGAATGGAATGAGATTAGGAGTTGGCACATCAGGATATTTATGTATAATTGGGATATTGTTTAGAGTTCAATAGAGCTGCATTTGGGGTGGAGATTCATGTCAGGGATAGATTCATGTTGGCATTATTGGAAAGGGGGATTGGTGGATTTTGAAATATATTATTTTGAAATAAAAAGAAATGCTGACCCTTTTGCAATAAATATGCACTTAGAATGCTCTAGTAAAAGCATAAAGATTTTATGTATTCTTTGTATGCTATATCATGTAATAAGTACTTGTATATAGTTTGTTGGCATATTCCAGTAATCCTAGCACTTGGGAAGATTAGGCAAAAGGATCCCAAGTTCAAGGCCAGGCTGGGCCATATTAACAAGACTGTATCAAAAAAATAGAAGCACAGTGTATAATGTTTCACAGAAGTAAAACGTTGTGACCAATTGAAGTTACTAGGGTGTTTTAAAAGCTAGGCTGTAATGTTTTCCTGCTATGCTTCAAGGGCTCTGAATCCTTTCTCTTAAAAGTAAAGTACAGCCATGAAAACAATTTCTTTATCACTGCTTTCACTTATAGTTTTTCTAATTTTTTCACTATGTTTTACATCAGACAATTTCTGAACATTATTTTCTTTTGTTGTGGTTATAGCATGTTTTATTTCCACTGGTTTTTTTTTCAATGCATTTTAAACTCTGTGGTTTGCTACATTGTATTAGAGTTCTTATAATAGGGAAGTGTGTAAACTTTTGTGTGTGTAGGGGGTGGGTACTGTGAGTGGAGCGAAGAAGCAAGGAAAGTATCTTGGGATGTGATCTTGAATTAATGTAAAATACCTGGAATTTTATGATGTTCTCAGAAGCTCAGCATACTCTAAGTTAGACACTTAAAGCAGCAGTGTTTAGCTACACTTGACATACTTGAGTTTTAAATATTCAGAAGATAGTTTTAGTGGGAAAGCACATTTTACAGACTTAATGACAGTGCACTGGATTGAAATTGAAAACACTGCTGCTGGCAAGTTCTAATCTGTGATTATTGTGTAATGTATAAGAATCAAAAAACAGAGCCGGCAGTGGTGCATGCCTTTAATCCCACTACTTGGGAGGCAGAGCCAGGCAGATCTCTGTGAGTTCGAGGCCAGCCTGGTCTACAGAGCAAGATCCAGGACAGGCACCAAAACTACACAGAGAAACCCTATCTTGGGGAGGGAAAAAAAAAAAAAGAAAAAAACAGTGATTGTTGACATTTGTTGAAAATGTTTTTGCTTATGTAATAAGCTCAAATTTTAAAGTCTAAACTCTTTTTTCCTAGGTTTAACAATGATAAATGAAGATATTACTAAAACAGCCTGCTTAGTAGCTCAACAATTATTTTGTAAGTATTAGCTTCCAGCTCCCTCCTCAGTGACCTACCACCATTTCTACAAAAACTGTTTGCTATCATGTTTCCAATCATTTCTGTTTATTTTTCTATCTATCCTAGAATAACTTAAATCTCTCCTTAGCTCTCTATTCATTGAAGTTTAATATTAATTTATTTTAGAACAAGAATGGCTTCATTGCCTTAGGCAACTTTACTAGTGTGTGAAGTATTTTATAGAAAGGCCCTGTTATCTCCAAGTCTGAGAATCATAATATTAAATCGTTTCTCTAAAGTTTACAAATAAGTAAAGATCTTTTTTTAAGGCTTAAATATTTTTATTTTATGTGTGTGTTTGGCTTCATGTGTATATATGTACTGTGCCTGGTGCCAGTGGAGGCCAGAAGAGGGCATTGGATCCTTTGGAACTAGAGTTATAGGATATTGGTTGTGAGCCACCATATGGGTGCTGGGAACCCTGGTATCTACAAGAGCAAGAAGTACTCTTAACCAAGGAGCCATCTCTCTAGCCCCAGTAATGGTATATTTTATTATTATCATTATTCAGGTTTATTGATCTTGCAGCTTTATAGCTTGAAAGTAGCCTCTTGAAAAATATTTTTTTTTTTGCATTAACTTGAGACTTCTTTGTGAGAAGCTTTTTACATTTAGCTTTTAAAACTTCAGGAGATAGGGAAAACAGCAAAGGCAATCCCTTTTCTGACGGCACACACACATACACACATTTGCACACATTAAAATTCTTCCTGACTCTTTTTGAAACAACAGAATAATTCTAATAATTCAGTTTAGCTGAAATTAATATATCTCTAGAAAAACTGGCATATTAAGTCATGTTAAATGCACACAGATAATTATTTCTGTGGAAGTATTCAAGACTCTAAAATTAACAAAAAAAATTTATTTCCATCTACTTGAGCTAATTTTGCATGTCTCAAAAAAACTCAGACTCACATTTCTGTTCCTAATGGTGCTAAGGGTTAAGTGACCCATTAGATGAAAGTTAGTGCTTCAGATGCTTCCCTTTCATCCTTTCACACATGGCATTAGTAATCCAAAACCTGTGTATGTTAGATAATCAGCCATTCAACTCAAGTAGTGAGAATGGGTTTTTTTCAGGAGGAGGGAGGTACATAGGAGAGGTAAGATAAATAAATACTGTAAACTTTGTTTACTAATAGCAAAATGCCACAGGGGTTTTTTTTTGTAAAATTTTTTCCTTTCATATTTTTATCAGTATGAAAATATTTGCAAATCCCTAAAGAATCCTATACAACCTGGGCTTGGGTTCCTTAATTGATCCTTTGGAATCCAGCTTCAGCCTCCCTTCCACTTAAGTTACTAAAACAGGTTTTCTAGTTGAACTATACTCCTACTGTAGACTCCTACTGTGACCTACTTTACATGACATTGTGTGGTTTTGTGTGCCTGTGCCCACCTTTCTCTTTTAGTGTTGGTTTAATACCATGGTTTCTTTTAACATAGTAATTTCTTTTAAGCTATTCCTTTATGGAGTGTGTGTAAGAGAAGGGTTTTTTTTTTTGTTTTTTTGTTTTTCTGTTTTTGTTGTTGTTGTTGATAGTGATGGTTTCTTTTTTCTTTTCTTTTTTTTTTTAATTTCTGTTTTTTGCAGTGCTAGAGATGGGGCCCAGGGCCTTCCAGGAACCAAGGCAAGCACTTTACCTCCCTAGCTCTTTATCTGTGGAATATGGATGTCCTAGAAGTGGCATAATGGTGTTAATATGTTAGGTGCTCTCAACTGAATAATGGTAGTATTTTGCATTCATTTTTTCAAGTTGCATAAAGAGTTTTCTTTCCAGTTTAAAGTTCTAGTAGAAATTTTTTGTTGCTTAAGAAATTCAAAAAGTCATTGATTTCTTTTTTTCTCATTGCTTTTTCTTTTTGTAAATGCTTTTATTTCCCACATTGCATTTTTAGCTACATAAACTTAAATTATCTATTTATATAATGCAAATTTAAAATTTATTGTTTGAGGGGCTAGTGAGATCACTTTGGGTAAGAGCCCTTGCTGCTCTTCCAGAGGGCCCATGTTTGGTTCCCAGAGCCTACATCAGGCAGCTCATAACAAACTCCAGGGAACCAGCACTCTCTTTTCTGCAGGCACCCACATACTTGTGACGTACTTCACATATACATTCACATAAAAATTCATTTAAAAATACATATCATTGATAGTTTAAAATCTTGGACTGCATGCTGTCCACATTTAAGAATATTATGCTAGGTAGAGGTGGTGCACACCTTTAATCCCAACACCCAGGAGGCAGAGGCAGATGAATCTCTGTGAGTTCAAGGCCAGCCTGGTCTACAAAGCAAGATCCAGGACAACCAGGGCAAACTAGAGAAACCCTGTCTTGAAGAACAAAAACAAACAAAAAGAATATTACAACTATCTTTTTAACATAAAACAGTAGAAATACTAAGATATTGACCTAATAAACAAAATATGAAGAAAAATTCACATTCAGTCCTGTCAGTATTGATAATCTTGTAATCTAATGACAGAAACCAATTACTTCTTAATTCAGGAAACCTCCTCAGTTTGACTACTCTCAGACACTATGCTTGTAAAAATAAAAAAGGTAGAACGACTTCCCATGTAGAAAATACGTCAGGCTAACAATAAAATAGCAGTGATACTCAATCATAATCAGTTTTAAAAGTATTGTTAGTTGTTGAATTAATAATATAAATATCTGGGTTAATATATAGAGAGAAAAGTAATATTTTCATTATTGGGGGAATTAGAATCAATGATATGGCAAGTGATGAAATTTTTTATTTTCAGTAAAAAATTAATTTTGTAATGATATATAATAGATGGGCTGAAAATCTTACAGTTTTTAATTGTGATGTAAATTTCTTTGTATAAACTGCTGTTTGTCATGCCACTTAGGAGGAAATTTTGCCTATCTTAAGTAGTTTCTTTAAAAAGAACTGTTTCTTAGGAGTGTATGCCAAAAGTGAAAAAACATAGTTGCATATTTTGGAGTTGAATTAGTGATGAAAGATGGCAGATACTGTCATAATTGAGAGTAGAAAAGGATGCCTTATATACCTACTGATAAAATACCTCACTATTAATTTAGTAAGAATGTAAAATCTAGGTTCTGGAAGTTATATATTGCTTTTAATTCATGGGCATAGGAAAAATTCACAGTGTTCTCATTTTTTTTTTTTTAGTTGTTGAAAAAGTATTAGTTTTGAGAATTAGAAAAGTTTTAACTCAATGCCAGATATTCTTTGTCCTCCAAGCCTTTAATATTTGATGTATAAGTATTTAAAACAATGATTATTTTAAATCTTGACCTTTTTACTTGATGATATTTCTGTTCTCAACAAAATGGCAACCTTGAAATTTAAGTTTTAATGCAAATTATGGGCTCATTTTTTCCCACTCTGAACAACTTTTCAGCTTCTACAAAGTTTCAGATAATAGAATTTATTCATGAGGTTACTTTGGATATTAGAAAGGTTAAAATGGGGGCTGGAAGTGTAGCTCACTTGATAAGAGTGCTTACCTAGAGCATGACACTCTGTATTTGATATCTACACCAAGTAAACTGGGTAGAGTGGTGCACACCTATAATCCCAGCAGTAGGTGGAGGAGGGCAGGAGAAACAGAAATTAAGATCATCCTTGACACTTAGTAAAATTGAGGACATCCTTAGTTACATGATACCTTGTCTGGAGAGAGGGAAGTAGGGGCGTTTAAGATACACCACAGGTTTGAATTTTAGTGGTGTATATGTTTCCTCAAAGTTCTTACTTAAAAACAACTTCATAGTATATAGAACTTTATTCTTAGGCCCTCGATCAGTGTCCCAAAACAGTTTTTACATCTTTTCTGAAGGCTGAACATACCCAGGTCTTTTCATGGATTCTTATAGCATCAATTGTGAACTATAAATATCATGGGTACTCTACTTTGATCCTGCTCCATTTTATAGCAGCCTTTTAAAACCATTTGTAGAAGTAGAGCCAGTATAGTCAATGTGGCCAAGGTACAAGATCTTTTATAATTATGGTACTTTTAGAGCAGGCAACAACACTAACTCTCTTTGTTATTAACTGTGTTAGTGTAACATTGAATTTGTCAGAAGTGCATACCTTACTGAGAATTTAGGTTGAACAGGCATTTAATGAACATCTAGTCACTACTAAATGTGCTCATATAAGTTTAAGGGATACAATTTAAATGAGGTAAGCATTTGCCACATTTTACCCAAGAGGTACCAAAACAGGGTCAGTGTACTGACTAGCTTAGCCATGATAAAGACTCCTAAGAGAGAGAATGCCAGGGTTCTGCCCTCACAGTCTGTATTCTGTCATTATGCTCTAAGACACTATGTTGTTTATTATATTAATAATTTTTAAAAAATTCAATAACTGACCCATTATTCTGGTTCAGTCAACATGCCTAAAATCTCTTAAATATATTGTGAAGTACTATGCTTTGTGGAAACGATGAATTAATATTAGAAGTCTTATAAGGTAAAAAAAAAGTAAATATTTTTAAACAAAAATATTAATGGAAAATAGAGTTGAAGGGAAAAATTGGACAATTTGTGGTTTGCTCTGTCTTTCTAAATTTTTTTTTATTTATTATGTATATAGTATTCTGCTTGCATATATGCCTGCACACCAGAAGAGGGCACCAGATCTCATTACACGTGGTTGTGAGCTACCATGTAGTTGCTAGGAATTGAACTCAGGACCTCTGGAAGAGCAGCCAATGCTCTTAACCTCTGAGACATCTCCCCAGACCCCGCTGTTCTTTTTTCTTATAAAAAGAACATTAATTTTGGGTATTTAAAGATTCTCATATATTCATATGTATAGTTAAGTTGGCTTCTTAAGCAGGACATTTAATTTACCTATTTTATCTTACCTTTCAGAGTGACTTAGTTTTTCTTCTAAGAACGTAAGTAAAATGTTGAACTATATCAAAAACCAACAAAATTAGGAGTCCTTAGGCCAGAATATAAACCACTGAATTTGAAATTATAACCATTGAATAAAGGTAAAGAACAAAATCTTTTTTTCAGTAACTTTTACCTTTAACCTAATGTAATAATTTTTATACCTTTTCTTTTAGCTGGCACACTTGAAAGCAAAGATTTAAGGACTTAAGGATAGTATGATATTTCAAGTGACCTAAGGTATAGGAATGGAGAAATGGCATGGGCCATACTATGATTGCTACCCAGCTAGTCCAGTTTGATGGAAAATTTGGTATGAAATGAAATAGTAAAAATAGTTATTTGTCATGAGATGGAGTAAGATCCTCATTAAAAGGGAAAGACAGTCTTTTAATAGTGTTGGGGAAACTAGGTAATCACACAAAATAGAATGAAGTTAGACCTTATTATCATGCATAAAAATTCATTCCAAATAAGTCAAAGACTAAACAAAAAGTCTAAAATTAAAACTCCCTTAAGATAACTTAATGTTGCCGGGCGGTGGTGGCGCAT